CCTTGACTCGGCATGTTTTTGCGTGACGTATAACAACAAGTGTTCGAAATTTAAATTTGCAGGATTCTAAAGATCGAAAATGAACGTGAGAAATGAAAGTACAACACACATCGATACCACAAAAGACAGATGAAGTCTTCTACAAAGAAAAGTAAAACACATTCACACATACAACAAGGCACACCCGTCTTCTGCACACAATTTGCTTATATTCAAGGATTACAAATCATAAATGTGTACTCACAAATTCCCAATCCAAAATTGTCCACTTATTGGCAAGCACACCCGTTAAACCGCTCCATCGAGCTCGCAAAAACTTGCGTGGATAATTAAGCCCACGCCCATCATTGATAACTCCTGACTTGACGCGAGAAGCGTCATTCAACCAATTTGACTTTGAAAGTTTGGATCGTGTGTAATGTATCAAAGATTTGCTCGGCATTTCCTCAGCAATTGATATTTCAATGACGTCATGATTTATGGGCGGCTTATTCACCGCGCCCGATGGGATGTTAGATCGGCGGGATTGTTGCATGTGTTGCATTTGTGCTGCCAACATGAATGATTAATGTTAACCAAGATATTTGATTAAGAAATTGTCACAATTATTTCTCAGGCGCACCTGTTTGTACCGTTTGTTTCGCCCAACTATTAAAGAAGAAGATTATTATCACTCTAATAGACCAAGAAGTGCATATAAAAAATAATTCTGATCACCGACTTCCAATAACAGATTCTCAAAATTGTGTGTGTGTGATCCATCTCCACCACCAAATTCTCTGACCAACGTGTTTTGTGCAAACGAAAGGCCTAATAAATAAACATTTAGTAATTAACCGACGTATTCTTACAAACGATGAGAAAACTTTGCAAGACCAATGACAATACCTGCTGATATAAAACTTCGAGTTGTGCATCCAGACATAAGGTGTCTATTCGAAAAAATTAGCTAAGGATGTATATATCTCTCCCAGACGCAATATTGCGTAATTGAAAGATGTAATTAATAAAGGATACGTAGGTAATCATATAACTTTAATAAAGGAAGGTGCTTTGAAGTCTCGTTAGGTTGCTGTTGAAAAGGTGGAGGATTAAGGAATCCTTGGGCAAAGTTTTTGATGTGCTCAATTTGGTTTTCATGTAAGGACAGGTCAACATCTAGCACAATAAAAAAAAATAATTAATAATTTCACCCAAACTACATTGTCAACATATAGTATCTACTACACTATACACACCGTCACCAAGCTTATCATTCTCTGATTGAACTAAAATCTTAAGGTCTAATATGACCCAGTAAACATTTTCCTCGGCAACGTTCGGTGTCAGTATAACCTGAAATTCAAATTGTTTAATAAATTTTTAAAAAAGTGAAATTATTGGCATCGACCATCGGACGTGAACAATAAATAATAATTTGAAGAAAATACCTCAAATTCTTTATCAACGTAAAATGTTATGCGCCCATCAGCCACACGGTATTTTTTCATGGCAGGCGGAATCACCTCTTCGGTCAACATTCGTAATTCGATATATGCATTTATTTTTCTTAATGATTCTTTGACCTCTTTGTCGGTCACTATCTTTGGAGCAAAACTCTCCTAATGTCCACAATGTCAAATAAATCTATTGTTAAATTTAAGAAACCGGCGATTCTACAAGAATTGACGCGCACCTCAATTATCTTGGGAAACCTCTGATATCTTCCCGTCGTGAGTACATCGATGGCGGTGGTAATGTCTGGACACCGCGTGCTTGAAGAAGGTGCCAATTGAAATTTGTGTTAAGTATACATAAGAATACGTGTATGTAAAGGAAGCCTCAGAAAGCCGCGTTACCTCGTATATGGTATCACTCCATAACGAAAATCGAAAAGGGAATGTAATACGTTGTTAATCTTTTGTTGTTGATTTTCCATAGCTTCGTGATATGACTGGAGCGAATGAAACGGAAGTTAGTCCCCGTTAAACTTTCGAAATAATAAGCCAAAGGTAAAACCAAAGGTAAGGTGACTGACTTCACAATGTCGAATGACATCTGCATTTTCG